AGGCTCAAGGTAAAAGATTTATGCTCACACGTATACATGTGCATTAGTCAGTATATGATCTATGAATTTGCTTTATATAGTTTCCGTGTGCATTATGACAACTGAAAAAGTTCTGCATTTTCATTAGGTATAGCATGATGCAGTAAAAATGTGTTGCACAATTCTTGAAACAATAATCTTACATGTTGGATTCAATAGAATGCTTTTTCTTCCATACTTGACATTCTCAAAAACATTGAAAATGTATCTTATTTAGGAAGAGCAAGAACTAGTCACCAAGCAACTCCGGAAGAACATGGCTTACAAAGCTAATCCGGTGCCAAATTTTTACTACGAGGCTCCTCCACCGAAACTTCCATTGAAAAAGGTTTGGATACAAAACCACACTGTCTTTGCCTCCTCTTTCTATTCCCACTCTGATTCATTTTCTTGCTTGTACAAAACTGAAAAAAATTGTTGAATTCAATGATAGATTCAACATTTAGCTTCCTTTTCTTTTGATCGGGTCTCTTATCCGCACCAACGGCTTATCCTACTCTACAGTCACGTTAGCTTTGTTTTGTTTTTGATTTTGGGAATATCTCACTATCATACTCATGAACACACTTTATGAATGGTAACAACAAGTTAACAGAATTTACGTACTGTGATGTTGGATTTTGGTTAAATGAGGTAAAGGAATGTACCAAAGCAGTGATTCCTGGCCATGGCTCCATGTCATCCTCTTGATATTTAAATTAATTAGACTGTTCTAAAACCTGAAAATTCCTTGAGAAGTTATTGTTTGCGATACATGGATATTATGAAAGAAGCTTTTAATATTCTATGGTTGTTTGACGACAGTTTCCACTGACCCGGCCCAAGTCACCAAACCTTAACCGTAGAAAGAGCTGCAGCGACTCATCATATCAGGAGGTGAAGGGTAAGCATGGTGTTGGACATCGCCACAGTGTAGACGGTTGCAAGGAAGAACCGAAAGCAAACAATGGCCCGAGGACTCCAAACATGAGAAAGTCCTCAAAGGAAACATCAAAGTCTGAACAAGTGTATGGAAAGAACAAGAGTGGGCATGAAAATGAGAATGGCATTGATCTTGTGGAGTGAAGCGTAGTTGTGTAGTTTCGTTTTGACTAACTTT